AGAGAGAGAGAGAGAGAGAGAGAGAGAGAGAGAGAGAGAGAGAGAGAAGAGAGGTGGAGAAAAACAAAAGACATAAAATGCCGATTAGAAATGCCAAGAGAAGAAGAAAGCAAGCTATATTCCATAGCCCAAAAATATAGTACTCCAGGCCGTGAATTATTGAATATCGCAGCAATAAAATATATATAATTGCATACTTAAAGCATTTCCGCGAAGTGGGCATTTTAATGTGCAATTTATTGCGCTTTAATTGCACCGTAAAATTGCAAATAAAAAGAAACAAAAACAACATCAAAAGTATCATCGACAATTGATTGAAATGAATTGAAATGAAATATTTGCACTTGCAACACGATACAGAGAGAAACAAGAAAGAAAAAAAACAACAGCAACGCTAATGATATGTAAATGTTGAACAAATATAAACGATGGGACTTTTGACATTTATCATGCATTTGCCGTGGCAAATATAAAAATGAATACTTTGTATTTGATACGATGTTGTAATCGCATTGGAGTATCATCAGCGCACTCCCTTTGTAATGCTCAAACATTCAAAATAGGTATACATGTGAGAGGGAAAAACGCAGCATTTGGTTTTTCAGTACCGTTTTCAGCTAGCTCCATATTGCAGTTAGAAACATCTCAAGAATACTGAATTGATAATGTGCGTGCATTTTTTTTAAACTTAAATTCTGTTGCATCAAAAATGCAAAGCCTCATTGCTCAAAAACCAGTTCTTTTGAACCAAAGTTTGATGTTGAAAGCCAACAAAAAACGTTCATCGCTGCTTGTTGTGTGCACAACTCAAACGGTTTACTGGAAGAGAAGGAAAAAAAAAGTGAGTTCGGCTAAGAAAAAAAAATTATGCTAATGTAATAATAGGAGTTTTATATGTTGAATGGACGTCAAAAAGTGAGACAAGACTTTAATTCGTTAATTATTATTAAGAGGCTTTTGAGATATCGACATGTGTGCGCGTACCGTGCGCAGTTCGGCCACATTGCATTGTGACAGATGCTCTTCTCTCTGGTGTGTGCAATGTGCATGCATATCTAGCTTGCAAACATGTTTTATTCAATACCAAAATAAATAATTATTCACAAACGTGTTTAACTATTCATATACCATTGAGAGCCAAACGGGAGTAAGCAAGAGAGAGAGAGAGAGAGAGATGGCAATTACGTCTATCGCTTGGAATGCGATATTTATGCGCACAAGAAGATACTGGCCTTGTGGTCACCCCTTACAAAAATATTGTTTCTTCGCTGCTGCTATTTTTTTAACTCTGTTTCTCACATGATCTAGTATACCTTTGTCTTTCTCTCGCTCACAGACATCGATTGGGCTAATCACTTGTAATAACACCATTCACTTACTCGAACGCCAAATTAACCGAAGTCGCATCAGAGTTGAACTCAAACTGAATAGCAAATTATTGATTTCGCATTTACATGATGGAACAAATGGCCATTTGCATTCGTGCCATTATTTTTTTTGTTACACAAAACACTGACTTGACACTTAATACCATTAACTTGAACAATTAAGCAGATCCATCTGACGAAACAAAAACCACAACAATATTCATTCTTATCAACTGTATCATCTTCTATTGAACCATTTTGATTAGAAAATGGGGAAAAAATGAATTCTTCATTTGAAAAGAAAAGAAGAAGAAAAAAATTGATTCAAGTTCGTGTTGATGTAATTCAATCAATCATAAATGGTTGTTGAGATTGTGAAAACCTAACTGAAAGCCAATTGATTAAAATTCTCGGAAAATTTTCCGTTTTATCCATTGAAATTTCTTTCGTTCAGAAGCACATACAGAATGAAACATTTGATTCTTCGATGTACATAAAACGATGTTTTACTCTTTTGATGTATGAGCCTCTATCGATCAAATGGACTAATTTATCCACAGTGTAGTTGAGCGTTCACTTTTGCTTTGTGCAAAATGTGCTGCATTCACGGGTTAAAATGCATGCAACGAAGAACTAGTGTTAATTATCAAGCAAGTTCAATTGAAGAAGAACAACTTGATACGATAAATTTAAAATCCAACTACTTGGTCCTCCGTTGTCTTTTTGCTTCTTATTCACTTGATTTTTGAATGTGTTTGTGTGTGTGTGTGTGTGCGTGTGTGTCTTCACCACAACTCCGAATGTGATATCTATAAAGGAGCATGTGTAATTCCTTGTCTCTTTCACTTGATTCGCTCACGAAGCTCGGCTTTGTCCATAAATGCGAACACAAACCAACCATATAATAATGGCGAACGACGACAACAACAACAGAAACAACAACAACACAACCACACAGCGTTCGATTCAACTCGATTTTCTTTTCTTTTGCAACTTTCTATTTAATAATGAACAGATGCGTAATATTCAATGCAGACTTTACTCCAATCATTACCATTAATATTGCTTCATTATTATCGATCACGTTAAATCGCGTGAACAAAGTCAAAATCATTTCATAATTGAAACTCAACTACCAAATAATCAACATGGAACTTGAATGTTTCCTGATTCGATAACACGAATTTTGAACATTGTGCCGAATGTTGGCGAACTGTTGATTTCGCAGAAAATTCGGAATATTCTTAATCATTTTCAAAATGCTTGAGCTAATTGGAAAAATTATTGAAATTTTGCAGGTGATTGGCGAACCGTGCGGATATCATGGTCCATACACGTTTTTCAAAGGTATCCGGATAGCACCGCTATCATCAGCATCATCCGCTGTAGCAACAGCAACAGCAACAGCAACAGCAACAGCAACAGCAACAGCAACAGCAGCGCCGACCGATTATGAAAATCATTGTGGCAAAAATAATAATTGCTTCGATGGCATCGATCACAAAACGGCAGAATTGCTACGTTCAAATGACACCATCATCAAATCCATCAAGCATGAGTATGACTCGGAATCATCGACAGTGGATAGCTGCGATGATTTGCCCATACCACGGGTAAAATTCAACAAAACAGACATCAAACCACGACTATTGGCCGAGTGGTAAGTGGCTTTTTTTTTTTATTTAGTACAATCTTCTTTTTTTGTGTGAGTGTATGTGTGTGTAATGCATACGCTTGCTCTTTAATTGGTGTCACCTCTCATATATTTCTTCTTTGTTTCGCTTTTCTTCTTCTTCTTCTTGCGAAAAAAAAAACAGCTACAAGAAACCGTTAGTGTTGGCACTTGGTGACTGCATTCCGGTTCGACCATGGTCGGACTCACCAATCGCATGTATCGCTGAACTTCGCATGGTTTGGCGTGATAAAAATGAACAGTGTCTATTGGCTTCGCTTCGCCTTTACTTTTTGCCAGAAAACACTCCAATGGGCCGGAATTGCCATGGCGAGGTATGTAAAATCATATACAAAAGCATAATTTTTGTTTCACTTCTGAATGATTTGAAAGAAGAAGAAAACAAAACCGACACATCATTTCACTTCGTCCGAAAACATTGAAAAAATCTCGGTAACATTGACGAACAAAAAAAAAAAAAACAATTAAATTGAGAGCATTTGGGATGTGTCTTATTTCTTCAGCATTCACACGGGCTGTTGTGTGCTCAATGCCCTCGTGAATAGTTTTTATTTATGTCAGCAACTTAGTACAAGGTCATTGCAAGACAGTTAAACGTATATACAAGAGTAAGCAACAATAACACACAGAAAAACTACACACTACCAAATAACAATTGCGTCGTCGATTTCTTGTCTGTTGCGAATGAAGACAACGCAGAAAAAATATCAACGCCATACAACAAATACGCTTCATCGTTCTCTCTGCGACGAACGTGTGTGAGCTCACACAAACTATGGCTCGCTGCGCACATTATCGATATATTTTTTTCGGTGATTGTCGTTCTTTGTTAGTTGGTTGGTGATTTTTTCTCGCTCTCTACGTTCAACAATTATAAATCATGCTGTTGCGCTGGGCGGAATTCGACAATATAATGCCGTTTCAAAGACAATCAACAACATGCTTTGCGTTAAGTTGTTGATGATGTAGAAGAAGGAAAAAAAAACCGCATGATGAAATTGCGAAATTTCGATTACAGGTTTATGAATGCCATTTTGATTTCGCTGCAATTTTAGTGTGATGCTAAGATTCACATCCATGTGTGGTGTTCATTTCAATCGAACGCAAGTGGTTTTTTCTCTCTACATACTTTTAATTGCTCCAAGGGAAAGGGAGATGACCAAAGGGCATGGCGAGAGATCTTTTAGAACAAGAGAACGAACGAAAGAGAAAAAAAAAGACAAGGATAGAGTAGAACAAAACTGATATGATCCCAAACGATTTCATTCAGCATTGATTGATCGCTCTTAACTATACACAAGCAATTGGCATATATTACATTTAAAAAACAATTTAATTCCCCTACCATTCACATGTACAATTCTCGTTTTTTTTCCACTTTTTTTTCCAACTCATGGATAGGATGAAGTGCTGGCGATTTCGGAACGCGTTGTAATTCGAGCAGACGATCTACTGAATTGGTGCGACGATACAATTAATTGGACCTATGGATTACGTGCAAACACACTCCTTGATCCAGCGATAAAAACAGAATCCGCAGTCACCGCCACCGTCGACAAACGCGATGACAATTCACCGAATTTACCAGCAACAGCACTTCACAATAAAAACGAAAGTGATCAATGTTTTGATAGCTTTTCGGGTACAAACGTGCGCTCCCTGAAAAATTCCAAATTGGATTTTACTGAAGTGGAAAAAGAAAAAGGTACAATTTTTTTTCTCGTTCAATTCATGTTATTTTGATTTTATTCGATTACAAGAATTAAAATAAATTGAATTTTATGTGGAACCACAAAAATCATTTGAATGCTCCATGCTGTGTGTGTGTGTGTGTCTGTATCTCTGTGTTCGTGTTCAGTATTTAATGCGCGCAGCAAATTTCATCGGCTGAACAATGTTGCCTGTGTGAAAATGGACAGAAACGTTTGGTTTTTAAACAGATTAACGTGTTGAAAACATTCTATTCCCAAACTACACTCACTTTGATAGTTTGATTATATTTTTCACGTTGCACTTGCTCACAGCGATGCATGTACATTTTTTCTTCACAACTATATCATCCTGTTCGATTATGTACGCAATGTATGACTTTCCGTTTGATGTTTTCACCGGAATTTCATAGTCCGCTTCATAGCCAATCGGTGGTTGCACCGATTTTTCAATCAATTCCGATTGATTAATCGATATTGTCACTAATATCATGAACAACACTGAACTGAACACAATTGATGCCATGATAACGTTTGTTTCTTATGTATGTGGAAACTTGTTGCTTGTTGGAATAGATATATGAAGCTTCAGGTGTCTAAAAGCATACTGATCCGAATTAAAGCAACGTTTTCCAATCGAAATGCACATTTGACTCAACTACACACACACACACATGCGAATATATTGTTTTCAAAAGTGCATTTATGTCGAGTAAACTATCTGCTGATCATGCGAAAACAATACCGTATCCACTGGGATTTATTTGAAAACCCACTTCATTCCGTGTATTATTATTTTTTACTGTGAAAACTGAAACCGAATCACACTTTTTCACTGTTGTTGCAATTTTTACAATTTATTTGCAGAAACCTATTGTCGGTCGAGCGTAGCAGTAATCAGTTTTCCGCGATATTGCCGCTATCGGGCCACATTGAAACGCCTCGAAGGTGTCGGTGACGAATGGCTTCGACGAACACTCGTACAGGCACTTTGTGGCTTTGTATCTTATGGACCGGATACAAGAGTTATGTTTTGTAAAGTGAGTAAACGTGGATTTCAATTTCAGGGTTTTTTCCTTCATATAAATATGGAAGAAAAAACATTTTTCTTTCAGAAGAAGTGAAGAAAGCTTGGAAAATTGAAAAAAAAAATATTTAAAAAAAAGATTTTCTGCCAATAAAATCCATCTTTGTTCCGGGTGGAGCATATTTTGTTTGAAAAAGCTGAACTAATCAACAATTAATTTCACTCTTTTTGCCAGGAAACTTTTGACTATCCGGAATTGGAAACGCATGAGCTCCTGTGTAATCATTTGGCACCGAAATTGAAAGGACGTCCACGCGGTCGTCGGAAGAAAATTCGATCCGATTCGCCATCGTCACGTATACGTTGTGATTCAGCTGGTTCTGATTCATGCGACTCAGAAATCTCAGCTTGTTCGGTGGAAAAAGTTTACTCAAAGTATTCGCCGCTGTACGTCAAGCCGGAATTCAAGCAAGGGACACAAGTATTGGCCACACGGCCAAAACTGCGATACAATCCGCGGCCGGCACGAACGAAACTCAAATCCGAATCAGCCGATGGAACGCGCTCATCACGACGTGGTACACACAGTGACAGCAGTGATTCAAATGACAGTGATTCCAATACAAACACAACGAATCAAGACGATGACGACAACGAGTCGTCCGAAGAATCGGAATTCATGCAAAAATTGATTGTTTTCCATGATGCGCAAGACTCACAAATCCCAAAAGGATTTTGGGTCGGTTTGAAGCGTGTGAATTTACTGTCGATTTATCAAAAGGTGAAAAAAATGGGCGGCTATGAAATGGTGACCGAACGCAAAGGAATGTGGAAGTATTTATTCGGTCTGGAAGGCGGCTACAATACAATATCACGGAAAAAGTATGAACGTGCATTGTTGCCGTATGAACGGTATGAAATGCAACGCGAATATACTGAACGACATGCCAAATACGGTCAGGATGGTGATAGCTTCGGTGAATATGATTTCGCAAAACTGTTAGATGGTAATCGACGTTTGACTGAATCGGAAATAATTGAACTCCAACGGCAAATCAAACTGAAAGAAGCGCGAAATGAGAAGGATCAAAATCTTCATGTTGAAATGACACCGGGATCATTGCCAGTTACAGTTATTGTTGGTAACAATAAGAAATCGGCATCACAAATCCAACAGCCGCACACCACAATTACGTTGCATCAAACAACAATTCATCCACAATCAGCAAGTAGCCCACCCAATCCAATTCAGATAACGAATCAGATTCAAATCCAACAATTCACCGTGCAACCGGGCTCATCGCATAAAGGTGACAGCATGAGTGGAAAACGTAAATTGTCGAATGAAGAATATACGGGACGTGATGCCAATTTCGTGGCAAATCACCTTGCGAAATTAGGCAAAACGACGTCATTGCGACAGGTGCGTTTGCGACCTGATCGTCAACGTAAATCGGGTGCATCATCACCGCCGTCGATTGGTTCGATTACCGTTTCAGCGATAAAACCAAACGAAAAAGAGAACATTCCATATTTAAGTGGATCGAAAACGACTACAATAACGCCGATTCTCGGTAATAGCAACAAATCGGTTCGCTATCCAAATTCAATGTCCGATGTTATCGATCTCGATAGTGACAACGAAGATGGTGCATCGCCACCACAAATGCATCTGTACACGGGTGGCATGTTTCCGAATATGAAAAAGCGAAAGCTGGACATTCTTCGGCAGGGTGGACTTGAAGTGACGGCCATCAGTAATTCGAGTGGACCGTTGAATAGCCAAGCTAGTTTCCACGGTTCAACGTCCGCAGCTGCGGCACCAGCGAATGTTGGAAAATGGAATGGAAAGAATAACACCAAAATCAGTTCTGCATTGGCTGGCGTCTCACATGCCGATGTGCCACTACCGAAATTTCAATCACAATGCATGTACAAACGGACGACTCGCATCTTTGGCAATCCGAAGGATTTAATACCATTACCAGCGCAAACGACGGAATATAATTGTATCGATTTGACGGTGGAAAAATGTGAACCAACGTTGCCGATCGGATTACGTTTGCCACAGTCGACAACAATTCAAAAAGCCCATTCGCAACCAGTGTCCGCCCTCACCACGTTACCGCTCTCACAGGCTGCACTGGCTGCACAGAAAATAACCGACCCGAATCTGCAAATAACACTCGTACCTCCACTTTCACACGCGCACAACAGCCAGAGCCACCATCACCACAACAACAAGCGCAAATCATCCGACAGCGGCAACAAAGCGTTGAGTAACATGAAAATGCCAGAGAAAAAGATTTCACTTCCGCCATCGATAATAACAACACCGATTGGCAATTTCACCAATAATAATACATCATCGGCCGCTGGCGGTAGTTCGACATCACCACCAGCATTGCTAAACCTACCGAATCTGTCATCCATCAACGATAACCTGAAAATTAACCAACTTCTACTGCAGAACTTCCTGAATCAATCAGCCGCGAACGCTCAAACCAACAATGATCCATCGGCCAAGGACCCGAGCACCAATCCATTTCTGATGCTCGATCCAATGTATCTCACCAGTCTCTACAATAATCCCAACCTCTTTTTCCAGCAATCACTTCCGCAAGAGCTGCTACAGCTCTATAAGAATTTTCCACAAGGTTTGGGCATCATTCCGATCTCGAAAAGTTAAAAGGAAGAATATGGCATGAATCGATGAAGAGAGAAAACAATTCAGCAAACAACAGCGACAAAAAACAAACAAACAAACAATCGAATTCTAGTCAAGCAAAGAGACAAGAAATGCAGTTGAAACATCATACATGGACCATTTCAAACCACATTATGTAAAATTGTTTTCCTCAACTTCGTTGGAATGCTTTGAATCGACTCCATATGTCCAAATTCTTCCACTGATGAGGCAACAAACCGGAACAAATCACATCAAAGCATCTATCACACGTAATTAAGTAAACCTCTGTATATAATTGAAATTTCATATTTGATTTTTTCCTTCTTGATTTCTATTTGTTGCGTTTGGATGTGTATGGTTTGGATCCAACACACATTACACCGAGTTTTTTTCTTTCTTTCCTTAAATTGTAAGAATTTATATTCTAAGCGAACATTTCCATTTAATTGTTCTTAAATCGTTTCTCGTGTGAAACTATACCGTAAGCACAATATATAGATTAATATCGGCAAACCACCACCATAGATAGGGATCATTCGTATATTTTTCATAAATGTTTTGCGAAACAAAAAAAAACAACAATTTTTTACCGTTCAAACTCAAAAGAAAAACACAAATACATAGGAAATGTATGATTTCAAATATCAATAGTTGATTCTCCTCCTATTTTGTTTCTTCTTTTTGAATAACGACAAATAGTTAGACACTTTTTCAATACGCCGTATATTACGTGCCACTGAACAGAAACCGTATTAACAACAACCTTCAATCAAATAAGAAGCAAGAAGATGATGGAACACATTTTTACATAACCGAAAACTAAAAACAGAATGTAAAAAAATATTTTTTATGGAAAATCAATAGCCACAGCATCGCTGAAAAAAATGAGATAATTTATCTTTGGGAAAATAAAAAAATTTCGACCCTTTTTTGTTAACATTTGATTTTTGTTTTCAAAAGAATTTTTTCTGATTTTCGACATCGGTTTTCTTTTTCAGTTCGATTCATTAAAAATATTGAAACAAAGTAAAAAAAAAAAGTTAAAATAAATGATTGGAATTGCAAGAAATAAACCATAACTTTTGAAATCTAAAGTGAAATTATGTCAGTTCTTCGCAACGATGCTGTTACACATTAGCTAGTTGTACTGGCATACGTAATAAAATAGAAATCGACCAACATAAATCGACGACGGGAACATAAAATTTCAAACCAATTTCGTTCAATTTTCTTTGCATTCTTTTGGTCGTGCAAACTCCACAATTAAATTCTGTTCCGAGATTAACCGAGAAAAAAAAAACATTTTTGTTCAATTTTCTTCGTTAGAAATAGACAACCATGGACGCAACAATATTACCAAGCTGTCCATATTCTCATTGTAATGAAATAAAGACATCACCCGTGGATCGATATTGTTCGAATTAGAATATGATTAATATTAATTATTAAGCTGTATAACAGGTTAAAAACTGTATAACATTGTCGATTAGTTGAGAAATACATGAAACAACAAAAACAGAACATTGTACATTTTGGTTTTTTTTTTGGATTTATTACCTTTTGAATGTTAAAGGCTGTGGAAAATATGTTGAGAATTGTAAAAGAAATTTGCGTGCAGAAAGGTTTGTATTACCGCAATGTTTCGCTACGATATTAATGCGATAACCAATGTAATCTTATCTAAATGAAAAATTTCATCGTATTTTCTATGGAAAAATTATCAAATGAAATGTTAATAACTTTAATCAATAATGCTAGCACTAATACGTTTGCGATCAAGTTCATTTTGCCTCTTTTTCTCTTCAACGGTTAATTCAGATCTTGCCCTTTTTGTTCTGTTGACTCTGTGTCTCACATTGTTCGATTGTTTCCTTAGTTCTTACTTCTTTCTAACGTAAACGTTCAGATTCAAGACGAAGATTACGTTTTATTTTTCTCTTTGAATGTCTCCTTACTCGAGTTCTTGTTGTTTGTCGTGTTTTTTTCAATTGATGACTGATGGTTGCGTGTCATTTCGATTTTATCTCAACGAATAAATAAAATCAATTTAATC